AATTTACATTTTATGAAACAAACCCTTTGTTATTACGTAAATAATTCCCCCCACTAACAATCTTCTTAAGAGTATTCTGTCAAGTTTCCTGTCACCCTGGGAATCCTTTTTGCAAGGTAACCTTGATGCTTACCAGCTCATTAAAAAAAGAATTGGAAACAAACATTGTGAATTTTAACCTACCCAAATTCATTTTCCTTTTGAGTCAGAATATCAAAACATATTAAAATATTTTACTTCAAATGCTTTTTCTGAGAGATGTGTAAGATATAAAAAATATTATTAATACTTCTGGAAAGATTTTTGTAGAAAACTGGATTTTTCCAAGAGATGGGTAATTTAAGAGATGGTAAGAACAGCAATACTTTAGACTTTGTTAACTTGAAACCTGTCATATATTAAACCATGCCATGTGTGTCTGGGTAATAAACATGAGAATAAAACATTATTTTAGTAAGCCAATTAATTATGTAAATGAGATGGTTAACCTATTTCTTTAGAAGTACCTTAGAAACATTTTATCTAAGAATATGAAGCATGAGGCAGGCTAGAGATTGTATGGTAAACTGTAGTGGTACAAAGGAAAATTCAACCCTTGGTAATATTTTATGTTTTAAACATCTTAAACAATATTGACAAAATGTTAAGATATTTGATCACTTCCAGAACTTACTTAGTCCACTGGTATTCAAACTTAGATTAATGAAAAAGGTATAACTGGTCATCCAGCAAACGTTAATGAAAAACTTAGATCTGTTTAAAACAAAGTTGATAGTCAANTGGGCTACATAATTCATAGTTATGGAGAACTGTCCTGTGCACTATAGGATGCTTAGGTGCATTCGTGGCTTCTTTCCATTAAATCAGTATACCTCTAGTGTGACAACCCAAACTATCTCCAGTCATTACTGAATGCCTCTCAGGGAATAAAATCACCTTCCATTGAGAACCACTTCATTAAACTGCTGAACTGATAGATTTCACAATTCTCTCTTCCTCAAATCAAATTTTTTTACAGCTATAACTTCATTAAATTAACATGACTAATACAAAGATAACTTTAACAGTTGCCTTGGGCATGAGAAGACGAACAAGAAAGTAGTAGTTTAATAAAAAAGAATGAAATACTACCACATGCTACGACATGGATGAACCTTGAAATCATTATGTGAAGTGAAAGCAGTAACAAAAGACCACTGTATAATTCCATTTTTATGAAATATCCAGAATAGGGAAAACTACAGAAACAAAACAGCTCAGCTGCCTAAGGCTGGGGTGGCAGTGGTAGAGGCAGGTAAGGATGGTGGCAGATGTGTATGCAGGGTTGGGGGAAATGGAGAGTGACTACTAGTAGATACAGGGTTTCTTTAGGCAGTGATAAAAATCTCCTAAAATTGGTTGTGTTGATGCTTGCACAACTCTGTAAATTTACTAACTATTGAATTGGACAAGATAAATGGGTTATTATTATGGTATGTGAATTTTATCTCAATAAAGCTGTTAAAAGAAAACGTTAAGTGTACAATATAGAAGTAGGTTGTATTGACAATGGATTTAAGATTCTGATGCAGAACTCCCTTTGCCTTTTTTTTGAATTCAAGTATTGTTGACATATAATATTATATTGGTTTCAGATATACAACACAGTGGTTCAACAGTTACCCATATTGTTAAATCCTCACCCTCTCTAGTGTGGTTACTATTTATGAACATAGTAAGATGTTACAGAAACATTGGCTATATTCTCCATGCTGAACTACCAACCCCAGGACCAACTTGTATTGTGATTGCAAATTATTGTGCCCCTTTATTCCCTTCACCCTCCCCCACAATCCATCCCAACCCTTCCCTCTTGGTAACCACTAGTCCCTTTTTTGTGTCTGAGTCTACTGCTATTTTGTTGCTTCTGTTTTGCTTTGTTTTTATACTCCACAAATAAATGAAATTGTATAGTATTTGTCTTTCTCCACCTGGCTTTTTTCACTGAGCATAACACCCTCTAAATCCATCCATGTTATGACTTTTTCCCCCAAAAAAGTTTCACTGAAATTTTTAAGGGAAATTTCCACCTCCCTAAAAATAGTATGAAACTAGAAATCCAGCTTCTTTCTCTAATAAGGACAAAACTGATAAAGGTTGTCAAGATAAGTCACTGTACCACTTACTCTAGTCTTTTGTTTAAACTATCTAGACATACGATATGAAAAAACAATAAAAAAACAGATATACTGTAAAACCTAATTCACTGAAATAATCTGGAGGAAAATGAAAGCCAGAATATTGGCAACTATTAAATTAAGTTTATAAAAAAAACCTAACACAGGTTTTTACTTCTGGGAACAATAAGTGCTAGACATTAGAAAGGAATTAAAAAATGCTGGATAATTTTTTTTTAACCTTTTAAAATATATGAGTGAACTCAACAAAGTAAAAAAAATAATATTCAGCTAAAAAAAAACAAAATAAAAAACCTGAACTCTGCAAAGGAAGACAAGGAAGACATCATTTTTCTTGGCTTTTGGTACAGACTGAGGAGGGTTGTTTCCCTAATGATTTGCAATAATGTAGTCCCAATCTTAAAAAAAAAATGTCAACATATAAATATATAATTTACATATACAGAAACACAGAAAAAGAGATCCAGGAGCCCAAATACGCAGGTTCTAATAGTGGCAGTCTCCTGGCACTTTAACTGTAACTATGTTTGTACCTTTTACTTTTTTTTTTTAGTTTTCTACAGTATACAAATGTTGCTTCTAAAATAACATAAAGTTGCTTTAAAATAAATTAAAAGTGGTTCTGGGTAGGCTACAGAAAAAGAAATGAATCCTCTCTGAAGCAATGCATTTTTGATCTAGACAAAGTGTAAACTGTGCTCCCACAAATAAATTTCCCACACAAAATGAGCTCACAATTAAAACATACATACACACCACTGCCACCATCATCCTGAGAAACAGCAAGCAGAAATAAAGGTGAGATTCAGACCCCCACAGATCTGATTTTAGATTTTGGAAGTATCAGACATAAAACCCAAAACAAAAAATGTTTAAATTCTGAGGAAATACAGGAAGGAATTAAAACTATGACTAATAAACAAAGTGAAAAAGCAGACATAAAAAGAATCAAGCACAACTTCTAGGAATGAAAGATACAGTCACTCAGAGTCAAAACTTAACCAATGAATAAAACAGAAGATTTGACACACAAGGGGCAAATTAGCAAAGTGGAGAGAAAGTCCTGAAAAAATACTCAGTGAAGCAGAAGACTCATAGTGTAAAAGAAAGTTTAATAAATGTGGAAGACAAAGTAAGAAAATCTAATACACATGCAATATCAATATCTGAGTAATATCAGGTTAACAGAATAGAAAAGATGCTTTTAAAAGAGAGAATATTAGCAGCTACTATGGACATAAATAAGAAATTTAAACTTAAAACAAAAATTATGCTTACAGCTGACTTCTCCAAAATAAAAAGTAAGCCAGAGATAGAAGAATAAAAACTACAAAACACTGAGAGAAAAGAAATTGTTAACAAAGAACTGCATACCCAGTAAAATTATCGTTCACGAACAAGAGTAAAATAAAGACATTTTCAGGACAAATGAACACTTAGAAACTTTACTATCAACAAGCTCTCTCTAAACAAACATTTAAGGTTGTACTTCAGTAAGAAACTTATACAAAGGCAGGCCTGAGATACATAAGAAAACCAGGAGATGCTGAAAAAAGGAAGACATGGAGCTTGATCTAAAGAAACACTGAGTTTATGTATTTAATAGTACTTTCGATATCTAATTTATGAGTTAAAAAAAAGAAAGTATAAGAAAAGAACTGGTTAAAAGTCACAGGGGAATAACTGGACATAAAGCATTTAAAGGCCATAGTACTATTCTATAAAAGAGAAAAAATCTTGATTAATTTTGGTCTTTGCTATGCTAAGTATGAAAGGTAAAATTTTGAGAGTGGCCTCTAAAAAAAGAGAAGAGAAAATCAGTACCACACAAACCATATTCTTTGAAAATGTTTAAACCAGTAGAAAGAAAAATATGAGGAAACAATTACTGATAAATGTATAATTGTGCAGAATAATTAAACAATTTTAAATTCATGTACCAATAACATAGCTTTAAACTGTATAAATGAAAATTTGACAAAACTGTTATCAAAATGGGAGATTTCAAGTCATCTTTCTCACTAAGTAATAGATCAAGGGACAAAATTAGGCTGCAAAAGACTAATATATTTAATAAAAGAATATATTTAACAAAAGAATAATATATTTAACAAACAAGCTTGCTCTGACTCACCCAAACAATTGGTGAGTACACATTTTTCTCAAGTGTATGTCAAGCAATAATGAAAACTGACAAAATACTAGGTCAGGGCAAATAATTGTTAACAAATGTCAAAAAATCAGTATCATACAAACTATATTCTTTGACAAAAATAAAAACCAAAAAAGGCTGATTGAAAAATACCAAATGTTTGCAATCTAAAAGCATATTTCCAAATAACATTAAGTAAAATACGAAATCATAACAAAAATTAGAAAATGCATAAACACTTTAAAAAATATAACATATCAAAATGTGTGTGATGCAGCTATAGTAATTCTAAGAGGCATATTGATAGCCTTACAAATGCTCATATTTAAACTCTGAAATATGCAACCAACTTAAGTTTTAAAAAGGATGACAGAAAGTATATTTTTCAAAGGCAAATTCAAGTAAGCTACAAAGTGTTACACTATGTGAGTTCTCAGGAAACTGGGAACTGGTTTTAAAAATTTATCAATTATTTGTGAAATTAGATAATTATGAAGTGCATTAATATTGCATAAGAAATAAACTATATTATTCCTGCTCTCTCCAGCAAAAAGATCTGATCTGGTACATAACAAGAATTTAATATATATTAGTTGATTGATACTAAATATCACAAAAATATGAATATGAAGCAGTTATGAAATTAACAGATGAAAAAAGGGACCACTTACCTGGTAATAAAATTTTATCTGTCTCACCAAAATGGATAGATTATGAATTCTAAGTGAGGCATCATTGTTGAATTTTTTATTGACTCTCCGACTATCCAATTTAGGATTACTAAAACAAGAAATTAAAGAAATTAAGAAAAAAATTTTAATTGCTTTAAGCTACAATTATATTGACATACACCTATCAGCCTATAGATGACAAAAAATAATCATATAATACATTTTTTTAAACTTGTGCATTCAGCTGTATTAACAGAGAATCCAAAAAAGGACAAATGATTACTTTGACATGTATTCTGTGCTTCTAATTAATATAAATGTACCTGATATTTCTAAGACCTACAAAACAAATCTGAAACATTAAGTAAGATGCTACCCTTCATTCTCATTTTCTCTTCACATAATATGGGGGAGGGGGAGCACGGGGAAGGCAGTACAACACAGAGAAGACAAGTGGTGATTCTATAGCATCTTACTCTGCTGATGGACAGTGACTGTAATGGGGTATGTGGTGGGGACTTGATAATGGGGAGAGTCGTTACCATAATGTTGCTTATGTAATTGTACATTAATGATACCCACCCCCAAAAAAGGTTACAAGCCAGTTATTTCACAGAACATTCTTCCATTGAATTTGTCAGATTAGTCTGTGTCTGACTCAAGTTCAGGTTATACATCATTGACAAGAAAAACAGATAAGAGATCTTGTGTTCTTAATGCATCCTAAGAGGTGGTACATGATTTTGATTTGTCCCATTTTTGTTGACATTCCCTTGTCACTTGATTAAACTGGTATCGGCCAGTTTTCTCTAAGAGAGTTACTCTTTTTCTTTTGTATTAAGTATTTTGTGGGAACAAACTTTGAAACTGTCAATATCTGATCTTTAATTTATTTATATCTGTATGCATTCATGGGCACCAATAGTATTCAACTGATCATAATCTATTACTATAATTACTTTGATAACTACCATAGGTTATCTTTTCGTTTTGTAGATTATTTCCTTTGTGGTGGTGAAGTTTTTAGTTTGATGCAATCTCATTTGATGAATTTTGCTTTTGCAGCCATATCTATCACTGGGTTTTCTTTCAAAACCACTTTATAATATTCTTTATGATGGTCTTTTATTAGATGCTTAAATGCCTTCGAGTATTTGCTGTTAGAGTGAATGTAGTATTTTCAAATTATATCTGTTAATAGGCTATTATTCATATATGAATGCTATCAATTTTTGTATATCACTCTTATCTTTAGAAATCTTGCTAAACTTTAATAGGTTGTCCTTTGATATTCCTTGAGGTCCCCTGAATATTTATAGTCTTCCCATACTGATCATCAATTATCCCAACAATTACTGAGGAGCTTATCATTTCCCACTGATCTCTATGGTATACTAGATGCCCATTACGTGTGGGTCTACTTTTGGAGTCTATTCTGTCCCATTAACCCATATGTTTATTCCTGTGTCATTAAAACCTTTTTAATATTACCATAGCTTTATTATTATCTTAATTCTTTTAGTGCAAGCTCCTCTTTTATGTTTTTGTTTTCTAACTTGTTCTGAGTGGTCCTATACATCACTCTTTTCTATGAATTTTAGGACATTTATAAGATTCTATGAAAAACAGCATTGAGATTTAATAGGATTTCATTAGTATTAATTTGATAAAGACTGACATTTGCATTAGTAAAATGTAAAAATTTCCCCCACAAAAGTGTTGCACATTTAAATAAAAATTTTTGACTTGGGTTTTTGTGAAATGGATGTTTTCTATTTCATTGTCTACTTTATCATTGCCAGTGTATAACAGGAAAACCAGTGTCTGTGTATTTCACTTCTGATTAACTACTTTTCAAAATTTAGTTTACTTAGTTCATTGTTCTAGGTTTTCCAGGTAAAAAAAATCTTATCATCTTCAAATATCAGTTTAGTTCCTCCTTTCCAATCTTACATGTCATTTCTATTTCTCTTCTTATTGTATTAACAAATAATAATGGAGATAGGAGCTACCCTATCTTGTTTTTAAATTTAATGGGATATTTCTCCACTAATGCTATAATCTCCTAATGGATACTCTCCTTCAAGTTAAGTTCCCTCCTATTCCTATTCAATTATCTGTATAGGTGCTGAATTTTATCCAATTTTTCCTACATCTACACCTACCTGGTTCTTCTCCTTTGACATGTTAATGTAGTGTATTAATGTTACTGAATCATCCTCATAATCCTAGACTATTTACTCCATCAGCTCCACCCCACAGTATAACAACTACTCCCTTTTTTTGGTATAAAATTCTACCACAGGTTTTCTAATAACTGCATTATGCCTGTCATGTTATCACTAGACCAAGCTTCTTGAGAGCAGAGACCATATCATATTCACATTTTTATCTCTATAAAATTAGTATATAATCTAACACAAATGTTTTTTGAATAGATAAGAATAAGTGATCTGAGACTAAGCATAGTATTTTAAAAATTGTTGCTTTCTAGTAAGAGTTATGAGATGGCATTCTCCAAGCTAGTAACTCACTTGGCAGCCTGGAACAGATACTTCCTACCAATGCATGTGTCTCCAAAATCAGTTGAAAACAGAGTCCTAAATACAATTTGACTTTTACCAAATAAGGGAGAATAGTAGGAAGATGGCAAGCCAAATCTGACCCATGACAGATTTACGCTTAGTGCAAGGGAAATAATGAATAGCCCAAGGCAAAAGAGAGTATGACTGTAAAAGTGGGTCAATGAGGTAAAAGCATGAATCTGAATTAGTCACTTACAATGACAAGGATACTACATCACAGATGTCAGATCATGTGTATAGGCTTTTACCACTTTTTTCCATTCTCTTTCTCAGCTTTTCCCTTATAGGATTATTCAGGAAAACAAAGAAAAGACAGAAAAGAGTTTCAGCAGTGTTTTATCTATAAAATCCATGTGCACAACAAATCATTGTTTTTACTATATTTGGCAGACAAAGACAAACAGCAGCACGGTCACGAAGTCATGGTTAAAAACTCAAAAGAGAGCTGAAGGGAAACTTGTTTTATATAATTAACTCTGGTATACTTTAAGTCAGTAAATTAAACAAATGTTTATTGAATACTTAGTGTGGCTATATTAATGTATAAAAGCTTAGTTTAGTCAAGCTATCTTTGTGGAGAAAAGTACATCTGTATTTGGGAGAAGAGAGTAGGAACAACTCCAGTAACAAAAATATTAGATAGTTACTGTAAGATAAATTCCAATAAATTTTGACCGAAGTAAGCAGGCGAAGAGAAGCAACCAAGGGCCAGGTAGTTTATTTGAATGCCACCCCCGGGTGATGTTCCGTGGTCTGAAACACAGGCCGGGGAAGTCACACCCAGCAGGGCAGGCAGCAAGTTTTTAAAGAAGGCAGTGAGAGGGAGAGCAAAGGTGTACAGTGGCGTGAGGATTGGCTCATCTAGGGTGCGTGGGGGTCTCTCATTGGCATTTAGCCAGGTACTGGAAAGTTACCACTAATCCTTTAGCTTGGGGGAAGGGCTCTAGTTGGGAGGGTTATCCCATCAGGCTCTGGAATGTTGTCAGATCGGAACCTGTTGGTCTCTTTGCCTCCTTTGGTGAGGCCTGGGCTTGTCTATCAGGCTCACCCCTTACCCTGATGCCTGCAGCCTAACAGTTATGTAAATTTCATCTGCAATCCTAGGCACTCAGTAAATCTTTTCCTCTCTAGTCTTCTTCCATCTCTTTGCTTCTATTTTCCTTGCTCTATATTTGAATCCCCTTATATACCTCTCATCCACAATTGTCTCCTCTTCATATGTTGGTAACATTTAAACCTAAAAAATACTTTAGAGATTATCTAGTTTCACTATAAATCAGAAAATCAAAGTCCAAAGTAGTAACTTGTATAGGCTTTTACCACTTTTTTCCATTCTCTTTCTCAGCTCTTCCCTTATAGGATTATTCAGGAAAACAAAGACAGACAGAAAAATGTTTCAGCAGTGTTTTATCTATAAAATCCATGTGCACAACAAATCATTGTTTTTACTATATTTTTGGAGCATATCCCTAATTGTCTTCACAATAAGTAATCAGACTAATGAAAATTCATTTCCTTCTCCCCACCCCTTGTTTATTACAGTAGTTTTTATTATAAATCTAGGTATTTAATTCTGAAAACAAATACTTAAGAAATATTTCAGTATTACTACTGAACATGTATATAAACTATAAAAACTGTACAAATTTACATGTAAGCCATTATTAAATGACAATAAACAATTTGGATTTTTACTCTGGGATGGATGTATAATATTCTAATAAATATGTGTGATTTCATTCCCACTTTTAAAAACTCCAACCCTAACAAGTAATGTACGTATTGTCTTTGTCCCTGACAGGTTATTACCAAGTTTCCTGTGCTCCTTAGACTTTTAAAAAATAAATTCTGAAAGTTTTTTGTTAAATTTATGTCTAACACTCCTCCTTATGATTTTTCAAAACTTAGTTGCCAGAAAGGCCTATAGTCTCTCTCTTTGAATGAAGTTTTTCTAAGAATTGGCGAGTCTCAAGAATTTAGAACTGTGGTTTGCTTGATCTTTTAAGATTTTTTTGTAAAAAAAAACTTGTAAATTTTGTTTTTTCATTTTCATTATTTGAGAAAGACTGCTTGAAACAATTAAGACAATTCTGAATATTAAAAAAGGAACTGTTTAGTTTTTAATTATTAAGATATCAGATGAAATTATTTTACTAATCTAGGAAAAAGTGAGAAATGCAATTTAGAGAAGCTAGAGAAAGTATTTTGAAAAATTCACAGAAAAGTATTTTAACAACTAAAAGTGACCTCATATTCAACAGGGATCTTAAAGATAGGGGAATGAAAGTTTTCTACATCCTTTTATAAAACTGGTGCTTTGTGTTTACAAATCTCTGCTATGATTACATGGGATTTAAGGGTATTTTTATAAACTGGCTGACTCATTAGGAAATCCAATGTAATAGTGGAAATCTTTGGTAGAACAGGCAGATACCTAGGTTCTCACAGCCTCAGTTTCAGTTCCTACTCTACATTATACCTATTTAGAGTGTGCAAACAGAAATATAAAATTCCTACTTCCTTA